AAATTATTAGTTTGTTACAATTTTTCCAGTCTTTTTATCTACTAAATACAAAAGAGCATTTGAAGTTTTCTATATAAAAAAAAAAAAAAAAAAAAAAAAAAACATATGAAACAGTGGCACTATTTTTTCAAACAAATCATATGAGGCCAGATCTGTAGCACTGTTTTTTATTGAACAATATTTAACTATTCAAAGATGAGTAGAAATTCCTACTTAAATTTCTCAAAATTGTTCGTTGTCAATTTATAGAACTTCGTGTTTATAATCAGAATCGTTCATATCACAAATGACCATATAAAGATCGCATCTGCAAAAAATCAATTAAAACTAGAGTCGTTTAGTCATCAAACTGTTTAAAAACAAATGAACTGTATTGGTAAAAACATTACGAACCGTCTATGTATTGGTTACAATAGATTGACTAGACGACCTTAGTTTTAATTTATTTTTTGCATATATGATCTTTACAGTGTGATTCATAATATGAACAATTTTGATCATAAGCACAAAGCTCTGTGATTTAAATATCAAGAGTTTTGAGTAGGAGTTCCTACTTATCTTTGAATAGCCAAGTATTGTTCTTTTTTATTTATACAATCTTTTACACATGTTTTGGTGGTATCCATTCTATAATGTATTTCAACAGTCTGAATTGTCTATCTTTGGAGCATCATTCATAGATCATCCTTACACAAAACTAGACAAGTCCAACAAAACACTAGGCAAATTCAAAACCATTATTACATTTATTTGTAGTGAATAAAATGGACGAATACGGTTTATTAAAAAATCCTAAACTCTTAATCTACCAGTCATATGATTTCAAATTTCTGTGATTTTTAGTAAGCATAATCTTTAATTGAAGATCTGAAAAATAAAAAGTTTACATCGTTGAAAAAAATAATAAAAAATGAAAAACCACATGTAAAAACTAACAATGCGAATCCGCCCCGTCATATGAACTAACCAGCATTTGCCTAACATAAAACTAATATTGGTTGTTTAAGAAAAATACAAAAATAAAAATATACAAACAATGGTTGAAAGTTGCTCCAAGCTCGTTATTGATACAATTAAAGGATTTTGCGTAATTTATTTGGCGATTGCAAAACATTATTGAAGATATCAAATGGCTAGTATCCACGTTTGAGTATACTATTTCATAGGAATTATGTCTACAAAGCAACGAATTTCTCAGCGGACATAGTCACTAGTACATGATTTAAATTTAATAAATTTCATGTTGGGATGGGTCTGTTCCACCTGTGACAAGAAATGTCTTTCTTCTGACTGTACTAAAATTAGATATGATCGTAATCATTCTCTTTAATGTATTATTTTTCTTATAAAATAATATTACAATGGTTGGAGGAACCCATATACAATCAAAGGAAAATAGTGGGTGGATGGATACAATGGTTGGATTAATATTTTAAGATAATAGACAGTGTTTTAACTTCTGTAGTTTTATTAAATTATAGAAATATTAAATGTCCCATCGTATTTATTAAGTGGGTTTTACTTGTTCATGTTTTTCATATGAAAATTATATTTATCCTTATCGAATTAGTCGCTTGTTATCACTTTAGTTGGCATGCAATTTTGAAAGAACAAATAAGAAAATAAGTTGGTTGTGAGCAAATGTTATTTTCAACCACCTAAGGTTGGTTATGAACGAATTTTAGGCTCGTATTTTATAAGGCATATTTTATATTTGATTTATGACGTTAGTGAATCACAAGATAGTCAGATGGTGCCTAGAAGGAGGTTAGAATGCCTATGTGAGTCTTCTCAACCATAAAAAAGATGGACTGTCATGTTATACAAGTGGCAAATCAACTTATTGGGTTGTTAATGGGTACTTATTAAAACCCATTTAGTTTGATTTGACCTTACATCATCATCATCACTACCAAAACTCATTTCTACAGTATGGTGATATCAAATCAAAAGAGCGTTAGTTAGTATCCATTACCAACCTAATGGGTTGATTTGCCACATCTACATTGTTGAAACCATAAGCTGATCCATTTAATACATATATATGTATATAATGTTAAATATACTAGTATCTCTCCATTACAATCACAAATTAAGTTGTTATGGAATTTACTTTCACAATTATTTTATTTTGTGTTAACTTGTTCATGTCGCGAGTTTCACGTGAATTAAGTTGGAGGAGATTCAAAAAGTGCGATTAATTTTATATTTAGACTATTTTTTGATAGTTAAGATGCTTTATATTGTCAATGTTACTAGAAGGTCTCTTATCGTCACATTTTAAGTATTAAGAGCGCCTTGATTCATCAAGGAATTTTGTCAATTAATTAGGCTCATCTTCATCTCACATTACAAGGTTACAAATAACTTGTTTTCTTTAGCTACAATTGACTGTTAGCCACATATAGTGTAATTACAGTTGAGCATGTAAATTGGCATTTCATTGAGTTTTGGTAGGTACAAGATCATTTGTCAAGTCATATTGCATACCTGTTGACATATATCAAAAATTTCTGAATGAGCATCTTGACTAATGTTAATAGTTTTTTAGCAAGCATATCGATATATGCCAACATATGTTAAGAGAGCTTATCGACAAAAGCCCATAACAACGCACACAAAATTTTATCTCATTACGTATTTATCCAGGTCCTTCTTTATTTTCACTCAAATAATATTTCAAACAACAAATCGACAATTTAGGGTTCAAGATTTGGAGCAAAACTATTCCAAGACTTTCTCTTGTATGAAGATTCAATCCAAAAGGGGGACAAGGATCCTCTTTATGGGGATTCGGGGATCAATCAATTGTGTCCGTTCATCGTACATCGTGCGATCTATTTTTGTTAGGTACTATTTATGTTCAATTTTAAATTTTAAATTTTAAATAAGTTCTAACCGTGCGATATAAGATGAATGGACACGATTGATTGATCCTCCAGATCTCCACAAAGAGAATCAAAGAGGATCCTATTCCCCAAAAGGGTCCATAGTTGGAGATGTAAATGGCAATATTTTTGCTCACTAACATAAACTTTGACGTATACTTACTATACATCTCATATCTGTCACGTATCATTTTATCTAATTTTAGTTAACTTCTATATTAAATGTTTCTTTTCCAAATTCAAAGAAAAAAAAATTTAACTAAAATTAAGTAAAATAACATAGGCAGACGATGACGTTTATGGTGAACATACATTTTGGTAACGGCGGAGCGAGCAAAACTGCTCCGGTTGGAAATTTGGAATGTCGAACTATTTTTTGGTGGGGGCCATTGACCATTGAGCTAATTTGCAAACCCACCACAACATTAAGACTGTGCATTATGTACTGTAAAGAAGAAAAGAATATTAGACCTAAAAATAAATAAATAAATAAAAACAAATATTAACACAAAAAAAGCTAAAATTAAAAATAAAACAAGAAAAAGAATATTAATAGCCAAATGTCTACTTCCCGGTTCCCAGTCGTCGCTCTGATCCACCTTTATACAATAATACTGCACAAACACAGTTGCACACGCTAATTAATTAATAATTAATTGTGGCTTAATGCAGAGAAAAAGTGTCTGGGTCTTCGGACGCACAGTTCCCGTGGCCACGTGGGGGAAGCTGATTGGTCGGGATAAAGCAAGTGCATGAGGATACGCACTCTCTGCAGCCCCATCCAAAAGACTTGAAAGTGGTCAAACCGGGCACCGGAAAGCCAAAAATTGCCGATCGAGGACTCCAAAATATAAAAATTACTAAATTTTCCCTTTTCATTTTGTTTATTTATTTATTTGTTTTGTTTGGATGAAATTGTAAATTACAAATCTTTAGACCGCACAAGGAATCAGGGTCGGTCAAACGAAAAACTGAGCTGGCAGCCTGGCACTTTATGAAAGCCACGCTCTGGTGGGTCCCGCCCCACGGGGTTCCAGTCCTCCCCGAACTTCTATGCTTTTGTTTCGTAAAATACTTTTTCTTTCTAATTAAAAACAGTAAACTAACTATTCAGTACGTTGGATGGTATTATAAGATTTCGATACTAAATTAGATTGCTCATTATGTGGTTTAATCGAGCTTATTTTTTTATTTAATGTAAAATATGTTGTACTAAAAAAAATAAAAATAAATTAAGGACACGTTTGAAATGCGACTAATAATTTTCTTATATAATATCAACACAATTTTGTTAAAAAAGATATGTATTACAAAATACAAAATGTGAAGCTTAGTTTCGAAGCGACGGCTCGTGCACTTGTACAAAGTAATCTGTGCATTTTATTCCACACTTCAACTATCTTTGTTTATTGAGTCCATCGATATGATCCTACTTATTGAAAGAATTGTGGTACATGCACCAAATAAATTTGTGCATTTCATTCATCTAATTGTTGGTTGAACTCATAACATACAATTATAGTGGTAGATACACCCACTTTGGAGAAGTAAAACTTTATATTATAGTATAGAAGATATGGTGCATTTTAGTAGACTGCCCTATTTATTATTATTGTTAAGTTTAAATTTTGAGATTAATGTGTATTCACAATACATATCTCGAAATTTAAAGTCATCTGATGATGATAAATAGGGTGTGACTAGTGACCATCACCATCACTTAAGGGCGGTGAGCAATGGCAAAGCCAGAATTTCATATGTGGAAGGGTCTCTCACATACATTCGTAATAACATGAGAGATTGAAGTAATTTGCATAAAAATTGAAAGACCCTAAATTCATTAGAGAGAACTAAAAACATTGCACAAATCTAGAAACCCAATATGAGGTAAAGAGTAAGCAAGAATTTAAAAAAAAAAAATATAAGTTAAAGCCAAAGAAAAGTTGATAGAATATTGAGGGAAAACGAAGACTGCCCTGCAATAAGAGAGATAGAGAAGAAAATGAGGCCTAACCTAGAACGAAAAAGAATTTGAATTAAAAACATACTGGTGAAACTGCATCATACATTGTACCTACACCAAAAGTTAAGCCCACCGAAGCCCAAACTTTAGCCCACTTCTACTAAGTCTCTTAAACCCCCAAAACCCTAAAAAATAAAATAAAAAAGCGCCTAAATCCCTGGCCGGGTCTTCTCTCTCGATTTTCTACCTCAGCACTCAGTTCCATTGCAGTCTCTCTGAAGCTAACAGGTACGTATGTAATTTTCTCAGCTCATCGCATTCATTTTCTTCTGTCTGACCAACAAATTTGATTTTTTTATTTGATTTTTATTTGTTGTGATTGGTGAGCGGCTGATTCTTTCCAGCTTAAGCTAAAGATTGTAAATTTACTTCTGGGAATTGAAATTGTGTTTTTAAAATTAGGGTTTTGAATTTGGGGTTCTGTGTAGAGTGCTTGTTGTAGTAATCCGACATGTAGCTCGACGATTTGTTTGTTACCAGCTTTCATGGTTAGAAAGCAGATGGTTGAGAGATTGTTATTTGTCAGCAATTTGTCATTGACATGATTTTATATTCCCAGTTGGACTCCGGCAGCCGACTTGCTCAGCTGTAAGAAAAAATGGCGGATGTGGTCCAGTACCGGATGGAGCGTATGCTCCCGGAGTTGGACGACCTGGAGAAGGAGGAACTGTTCACGAGACGTGAGCTTGCTGAGATTGTCAAGCAGCGTCGCAATTTTGAATTCCGGCTCAAGCGGCCGAGCCCACTCAAGGAGGACTACCTTGCCTACATTGACTACGAGACTAAGGTCGACAAGCTAAGGCGCTTGAGGAAAAAGGCAAAGTTGCCGGAGCGGGAAGATAACGAGGAGACGAAGAAGAAGAAGAGGAAGAGGAAGTCGGTTTCAGACTTTGCTGGCGTCAGGAGGATTCTTGATATTTATAGGCTTGCTGTCACTAGGTTCACTGGTGATCTTGAACTCTGGTTTCGCTACCTTGACTTTTGTAAAGAGCGACGAAATGGTAGGATCAAGGAGGTAATTGTTAACGGTTCTTGCTTTGTGGAGTGAATTTAACTTCAAAGTTCAGTATTGATTACTGCATTCAAACTTGGTTCGGTAGATTTATTTTTCTTGGATTTGGGATTGTTTTGTAGGTCTTGAATAAGGTAATTGGGTTTCATTCCAAGCAGCCATCTGTTTGGATTTATAAAGCAGCTTGGGAATTCGACAACTACTCAAATGTCGAAGCTGCCCGTAATACAATGCTACAGGGGTTGAGATTTTGCAAAAATTCAGAAGATCTTTGGTTGGAGTATCTCCGGATGGAACTCACATTCCTTAATAAACTAAAGGCTCGAAAGGTTGCTCTTGGAGAGGATGAGGGCAGTCTGGTTCTTGATAAGATTAGTGCTGATGAGCAACAGTGGAAAAGTGAAAACAAAGATTTATACATGCCCCTCAATGAAGAAAGAGAAAATGATGAAAATAATGAAGGGTCAGATATCGAAGAAAGCAAATCAAGGAAGAAAGTTGATAAGTTACAAGAGGTAGGTTTTGGTGTGATAAAAACCATATACAGTGAAGCAGTTAAAGCTCTTCCCTCTAGCTTTACCCTGAGAAAGCGGTTTTTAGAGATATTGAAATCTATCAACTTGGCTAAATCTGGGGAAATGGGTGAGGAAGTACTAAGTGACATGAAGAGAGACTTCTCAACAGAGCCAGAGTATTGGGATTGGCTTGCTAAATTTGAATACAATCCTGCAAGTACACAGGAGGAGACGGGTGAAGAAATAACATTTTCTTGTATGGGAAAAGCCATTCAGGTATTAAATGCATGTATTACTGATTAAATCCTGCACTTTTAGAGTCGTTTATTTAGTCTTCTATTGAGTAATTGGTTAACATCCATGCTATATTTGAAACTGAATTAGACTCCATTTGGATATATCTTATGTCCCTATCTATAAATGAGTGATGAATAAAACGGATGTCATGCTCTATGGGTAGGTCTATGAGGATGCCATACAAGTTTTGCCTTCGGCCAAAATGTTCAAGCACTATGCAAAGTTTCTCATGGGTGCTGTAGCTCTTCTAGTAGGAGACAACGAGACTTCTCTAGACAATCAATCTGCTAGTTATGTTTCACGTCTTTTGGGCCTTTACCAAAAGGCTGATACAATCGGGTACACTGATGAGGAACTTGCCTGTGAACATATTTCATTATATTTGCAACTTGGCAGAGTGGATGAAGCTCGGAGACTGGCACACAATCTTTGTTGTGGAAAATTTCCAAATTCAGCAAAGGTGTGGGTATTATGGGCCTCTATAGAAATGAAGCACTCGACAAGGGATCTTATTTCTTCGAGCAAAGATAAGCTGCTATCGATCTTTGAACTTGTAAAAGATGGCTTGACAAGACTGTCAATTTCAGAAGCCGAGAGCTTGTGGGTAATGGTATGTTATCCACACCTTTCAATTTGATGAACTCCGATATGACAGTATGTAATTACCATTTATCTTGATGAGACGCTTTAACATTATCTCCTATTGCAGGCCCTTAAATTCTTTGCCAGTCAAAAACATTATTTTGACATGTTGGTTGAGGTTGCTGTTACATCGTTAATTAAATATCGTGGCAGTGACGAAGGATTTTCCCTCTCTTCTATTATTGTGAATTTTGTTCTTCAAAAAGATGGAATTGCGCATGCTAGAGTGATGTATAAGCGGTAGGCCATTTCATCCTTAATAACTCTACATTATTCTATTTCATCTTAGATTATGCAGTTTGCTTACGAAGAAGTGTCTATGTTTGCATCAATTGAATTGCAGCTTTACGGCTTTACCACACCCTGGGCTAGTTCTATATAGGACCTGCATAGAATTGGAAACAAACCTTGCATCAAATGGTGATAAAACTGGTCTTGAAAATGCCCGGAAGTTGTATTTTTCTGCACTTCAGACTTATGACCAAGATTCGAGCTTGTGGCGAGATTACTGGCTTATGGAGACCAAGGTGAACTTTCCTCTGGCTTGCAAGTAACTCTAGAATCTGAAAAAGTAACAACTTTCATTTTTAACAACAAAGCGACTTTTCTTTTTCCAAATTGTTGCCTTGGACATTGGTTAAGCAAATGAATTGTGAACGGAACTATTATTTTTGTTCTACTTTGTAATCCGATATCAGAACTTGCTTAATCTATACTAATAGCCGTAATTCTTTCATCAAATTTACAGATGGGAACATCAAAGACAGCTTCCGATGTATCTTGGCGTGCACGTAAGACTCTAAAGGACAGTAGTGCACTTTCTTTGGCAGATTTGTGATATTAGTAATGCAGACTGCTCTTCAATTGTAACTTGTAAGCTTTTGAACTTAGTTGTTTTTTTGGTCAATAGTTGTTGAATTTAGTTTAATAGACAGACAACTCGTACTTTTATCCGTGTCAACGGAATTGATTAATAGTTACAAGTTCATGTTTTACATTAAACTTGTTATTGCTTGAATGATTGCAGCAGTCTCTTGCCTTTTGAATCATTGCTCCGGGTTCTCCAACTCCATCGATTTCAATCTTCCATGTTCTTGGCCAGTTGAAGGCGATGGAGTGGTGACGTTCGGAAGAGAAGATAGCTAGCATCCCCATATAACTATCCATTCATTAAACACTTGCATTCTCAACAAAACTTGACTAGGAATTAATACCAGAAATTTCCCTAACTATTTCATCTAGTGCATCTTCATCTTTGAGTATTGCTGTATGAGACCCCCCCCCGGAACTCTGATCGTTTTTGGAGTTTGATTTTTGTATCGGACCACAGAGATTCATGTACCAACAAGCCACCATGTTCAGAGTCCCATCTCCGTCCCTGTAAACACTCTCAGGCTGCTCATCGAAACCGTTGCTTCCATAGAACAAGGTCTCTGCTGTCTTCACACCACCTCAGGAGCTACCAGCTCCTCTGTTAAACCCAAAACCCTAGTTTTGAAAGGATGAACACCTCGAAGTCCAATGTTGTCGAGAAACTGCGGAATATCATAGGCCGAATATGTAGCATTTGGGGTGATGACAAGCCGGTTCGGACCAAATATTTTAGGGTTTGGCATCAGCCAAAGGTTGCTCTCTGAGCTCCTCTCTTACCACGCCAATGCTATCCTAGTGTGTTTCCTGAATCAAGAGTGAGCATTTCATCCACAGTACCACCCCACCGCGCAGAGAGTGCAACAAAATGTTTGCTGAATTTTCGCCGCCAAAACGTGAAATTTACTCATTACTAAAGAGAGGAAGGTGAGTTCAGTTTTACAATAGGCTAGTAATAATGTGGTTCAAATTCATCTTTGACGAAAATCAAACCTAAGACCTTTCACTTACAAATAAAGAAGAATATTACTAGACTGTAACGTTAATCACACTTAAAAATTCATAATTACATATAATGAACTAAATCTTTTACTAATAGACTTATAGTTGGACAGCTGAGCTATGACACAAATTATGGAATTTTGGGACCAAATTCTCAACCTTCGCTCATTTTTTGTGAAGTATATTGGAAACTTGCCACGTCATAACATGCAAACAAGAATCGTCACATCACCCGCATCTTTTAATGTCAAACTTTGGTGTCCATGCTAAAAGCATGTTAAATGTGGCTGCCACGTAATTGCAATCATTACCTAGAAGCAATGGGCGCCCATAAATTATATAAGTATGTTGGCCGGCTGCATTTGGAAACTGCCCATTTTATGCCTAACACTTCTTTGGATATGTATGGACCATTATTCTGCATTGTGGCATGACTGCATGAAACCCTACAATTCAAAATACTTATAAATATTATAGTCAGTCTTTATATAATCATGTGATGTATTAATTCATGTGTATTATAATATGAGTAAATAATAAAATACAACAATAAACGCCCAAAAATGGTATAAATATGTTGGCGAGCCGGCCTTTGGATTTCCCTTTATGTTCAAGGATAATATGATAGATATTATCTAGTATAATAAAAAGTGAGTTTTACGTTTTATTCTACTTGTCACATAATCATACGATATCATAAACTTTAAATACAATATTTAAAAACAACCATACATCTTCTCATAAAAGAATTAGTAACACTTTATGACGGTGTAAACGAAAACTTTTTCTTAAATTTGTCTAAAATATTCAATCTTACCCAAAACCAGAGAGAACCAGTTCACACATACTGTGACAGTCAATGTCTGCCATGGTATTGCCGCTGGGGACACTTGACTCTCTAATTCAACAATACAATAGTTCCAGTAAGCTCTTAGCAGTCATTACAGTAGCAGCAATTGACTGAATTTTTTATTAAGTTGATTATCTTGAACACAGAATTGCCATGAAAGGGAATAAAAAGAAATCATTTCTGACGAGAAGAATAAAATAACTCATTTCTGTGTACTAGTATATTTTTGGGATAATTTGATATAGATCCAATTTTGTGAGCCATTAGTACAATTAGTCCACTGCATTGAAATAGGTCCAATAATTGATATTCCATGTAAGCTTATTTATAATTTGTACCATATTTATCCCTTAGACTTATAAATTGTAGTAAATATTCAAAATTTCTTAATTATATGATTATTTGTGGTTTAACTTATCCCTTAATTGTAGGATTAGTTATAGCAATTGAAACTTAGTATTTGTTCCTTTTTTTTTTTGTTTAGTATTTGTTCCTTTAATGGAGGTATATTATATCATATTTCTATTCTAATGTTTTGCCATGGAGGTTCAGCATTTTTCTTCCTATACAATAGGTAGTTTATTTTTATTTTGTTGATAGATTATATCTATTTTGTAGGTATAAAGCATTTTTCTTCCTATACAATAGGTAGTTTATTTTTGTTTTGTAGGTAGATTACATCTGTTTTGTTGGTATAAAGTATTTTTCTTCCTATACAATAGGTAGTTACTAAATTATATCGGTTTTGTAGGTAAACATCATTAGGTGGTTACTAGATAATATTTTAGTTAGTATTTAAATATTCAAAATTAAAAACTGAATAAATGATACAAAAATTAAAGAATTTAAATATTTTTATCTAAAAGGGCAAAATTAGTATAAAAATATGTAATTGGATAACTGGACTTAGTTAAAAAACTATCTTTATTTTTGGACCTAGATCGAAAAGCCCCTATATTTTTTTAGCACATATCTGTTTACGTTTGGTTCTCTATTTTTTTATTTATTTGATCTAATTATTGAAAAAATAGTATTATATATTTACATACTCATTTTTTTTTCTTAAATAATGTTATATATTCACATACTTATTTTTATCTTTTAGAGATCCATCTTAATTTTTAATCGTTAAATTACAAATTAAATATCAACGCATAAAAAGCAACAAAATGTTTGAGAGGTAAAAATATGTTTGTAAATAATATTATCATTGTTAAAAATGTTTATAAAATTAAAAAAGAGTGGGAAAATTATTTATTAAGAACATAAAGTAAAATCAAGTAAATAAATAAGAAGTCAAATTTGAAAATTTCCTAGTCAATTTTACCCTTCGTTTTCAATTTCGGCCGACTTTATCATTTCATTAATTAAATACACCCAGACCAGCTCTTCGTTCTTATCTCCCAATTTCTTTATTTTGTATTTTATTGAACTTTCCATCGTGTGTTTTGAAAAGTCTAAACCCACCACCTTCACCTTCTACAAAACCATTTGTATAAGACCCAAGTTTCCTCGCATCACACCCAACTCCTCCTCTCTCTCACATTTTTCTCCATCAAAGTTTTTCTCTTCCCTCCTAAACCCGATTTTCGCATCGAAAAATTTCGGGCCCTCCAACAGATAATTCAGTAGTTTTCGTATCACGTAAAAGTTGTGCAGAACATGAGGAAGACCAAGGTGAATAGCCAGAACAAGTTCATGAAAATCATCACGGTGCCCATCAGAGTCCTGAGCAAGGCCAAAGACTTTTACGTCAGAAGCATGACGGACATGGGCGGCAGAGTGGCCTACGGTGGCGTAGTTGGAGGGCTTGGTGGTAATGTCACTCAAGGCTTGCCTAGGAGCTTCAGCGTTAGGTCAACTTCTTCTAGGTTAAGTGAAAACGGTGATGATTATTCAGAGCTTATTAGGGCTGCGTCAGCGAGGAACTACGGGGGCAGGATTGACGTGAGCATGATCATGCAAGAGCAGATGAAACGATCGGCTACAACCACAACTATGCGATCGGGCATGGGACCGAAAAGGGTATCGAATACTCCGGCTGGTTTGCCAAAATGTGGCAGCGTGGCCATGGGGAGGATTGATGAAGATACACCTGCGGATTTTGATGAAGGTGCTGCTGGTGTCAAGGGTGACTTGTACCCTAGAAGCAAAAGCTATGCTGTTGGAAGGAGAAGTGCTTTTGCGTTTTGATTGTTGATCAAACGCGTCCACTGTCAGTTGAATTCAAGATCTGCGGATGAATTCGTACCGTGAAGTTAACAAGTTACAAGACGACGGACAATTCTGTTGTGGTTTTCATTCAATTTCTTTGTGATTGAAAGTTGTGAAAGTGTACAAAATTAAGGTTTTGAATTTAGAATCGCTGTCATGTTTGAAGCCGTTTTGTTTTGTATATATGCATTTTGTTTTCCTTTTTGTTCAACAATTCACAATTGTGGTTATGAGATTTGAACTCCCGCCAATTTTTCTTTCAATGAAGTAAGGATATAGACTTTTTTGAGGATTAATTATTAATCTGCTTTGCTGCAAGCACAAGCAAAATTATGAGAAAAGGAAAACTGGGGCTATTGCTTAATTAGGTGTTTTAGTTGTTCTGGTTGCAAAGAAAAGAATGGTCCCTAAAATTGATGGACACAATCAAGATGATTCTTGAAATTGAAAATCAATGGATGTCCATCCTTGAAAATATATGTCGCAAATCAATGTAGTATTTCCATCATAATTTTGTCTAAAATTATATTATGTGCTGATGTGACACATAAATGGATTTCACAAGTCCCTTTTTTTTAATTTTTTTTTATTATCATAAATGGTCTCTAAAATTAACCCACACCATAAAGATGGTTATTGAAATTGAAAATCGATTTTACATAGCCCTAGAAATAAATGCCTCAAATCAATGTGACCATTTCATCATAATTCTGTCAAAAATTCTATTTTCAAGATCGTCATGTGGTTCAATTTCAATGATCATTTGTGATAAAAACTCAAAACAAAAACACCAATTTGGAAGTTCACTTTATAAATTACAGCATTATATTGTTTTCTATCGTAGGCGAGTAACATATTCTAATTTTTTTTCAATGTGTTGACTTCTATTAAACAAAAATCGTAAGGATATTTATCTAAAAGGCTAGGGAGAATGAATAACATGCTAAAGATGTAAGTAATTTTGTTTATCTTAAAATTCAATATATTATATTACATGTATCGAAACTTGACGAAATAAAATACAATAATTAATAAATGATTCACCATGTAGAGATGCAAACCATTGACAATTTGGTAATTTGATATATTTTCACAAAGTCATATCATATAATTTAAAGCTTTTGATAAACAAAATTTTATTTAATGTGCTGGAGCTTCTTGTGATGTCCAAATTATTCTTGTGAAGTGAACAAATCAATTATTAATAAAAATTTAAAATTTGTTAAATACATGAAACTATTTCTACATCAAATATTATTTTTTTTTATGAAAAGAAGAAATATATACAAACATTACTTAAATATTACACATCTTGCGTTTTTAGGCGTATGTGTACTAATTAAATTTACATAATTGAATTTTTCAACCAATTCTTTTTCAATTGATCAAATAGCTAATCCATTTTGTGACATAGTTGATTGAAGATAAGAT